ACTGCCGTGTGCGCTGCGCGTAAATTCGGGTGCAAGGCAGGTGTAAAACGGTATCACGCGTCAGTCCGAACAAAAAGTTGTTTATACCCAACCGGAAATGATAAACGTAGTTGAGAAGACGATACTAAAAATTCACAATGTTGAAATACACATACACGAAAATTACTTTTACTTTCAATATTCCTCTCAGCATACAGAAAAGAATGGGTTGTTTAATTGGAATTTAACTAATAAATTTTAATTCATAAGAAAAAATAGGCAAAAGGATGGATACTTAATAATTTATTTTCACGATTTTCGATAGTGAATATCACTTCTAAATTAAAGAGATAGCAACTAGAAAAATGTAGATGATGGAAGATTTGAAAAATTCACAATCAAAAAATTTTACGCAAATTTTCGCGGGTTGCAGGTCAAATTCCTGCAACAATTCCGCATCTTTCTAAATGCCGTGCTGAAGTTCGTAAGCCTCCTAGTTCTCGCGAAAACCCGAAAAAATACGGCGACACTTCAGAAATGGTGAAAAATTCACCCTTTTATGCAAATTTTCGCAGGTTGCAGGCCGAATTCCACCACAACAAACAAATACCACCACGACGGAGGAATTTAATTCCCGCATCTCTAAATACCGCGGTGGTGTTATTGAGACGCCTAGATCGCGCGTAAACCCGAAAAATACAAACATTTCACTAGGAAATGGTGAAAAATTTCACCCTTTTATGCAAATTTTCGGGGTTGCAGGTCAATTCCTGCACAACGAGCGATACACCGACGGGAATTTTGAATTTCCGCATCTCTAAATACGCGGTGGTGTTATTGAGACGCCTAGATCGCGCGTAAACCCGAAAAAATACAAACATATTTCACTAGAAATGGTGAAAAGTGCCGCACATTTTGGGGTTTTTGGGTTTGGGGCGAATTTTGCGAAACAATACCACCGACGGGCCCCCAATTCCGCATCTCTAAAACTCACCGCGGTGGTGTTATTGCGACACTGATCGCGCGTAAGCGAAAAATACAAACATTTCACTAGAAATGGTATTAAATTCCACCTTTATGCAAATTTTGAGGGGTTTGCAGGCCAGTTACCACCCAACAAACAAATACCACCCGATGGAGAATTTGAATTCCTCTCTCTAAATACCGCGCTAAAATTATTAAACCCGCCTGGATTCGCGCGTAAACCAGAAAAAATACAAACATTTCACAAGAAGGGTGAAATTCACCCTTTTCGTACGGAGAATTTTCGAGTTACAGGACGAATTCACTGCAACAAACAAATGCACCACCCGATGGAGAATTTAATTCCGCATCTCTAAATACCGGAAGCTGAAATTATTAAGCCCGCCTAGTTCGCGCGTAAACCCGAAAATTCAAACATTTCACACTTCAGAAATGGTGAAAAATTCACACTTTATGCAAATTTTTCGCGGGTTGTGGGCCGAATTCCTACAACAAGCAAATACCCGATGGAGAATTTAATTCCGCATCTACAAATACCGCGTAGAAATTATTAAGCCGCCTAGTTCATGGCCTGAAAAAATACAAACATTTCACGAGAAAGGGTGAAATTCACCTTTTGTAAAGATTTTTGCGAGTTGCAGGGCGAATTCTGTACACACAAATACCACCCGACGGAGAATTTAATTTCGCATCTCCAAGCACTGCGCTGAAATTAGTGAGCCGTCTTGATCGCTGCTGCTGCACCGAAAAAATACAAACATTTCACGAGGCAGGTTAATAATTCACCCTTTTATGCAATTTTCGCGGGGTTGCAGACCGAATTCCCTGCAACTAACAAATAAAGTAGACGGAGAATTTAATTCCGCATCTCTAAACTTACCCCACTTTGAAGTTAATTGAACCGCCTAGATCGCGCGCAAACCGAAGAAATACAAACATTTCACGAGAAAGGGTGAAAATTAGCTTTTGCGCGAAGTTTCGCGGGTTGCAGGTCGAATTCCTGCAACAAACAAATACGACTCGACGGAGAATGTAATTCCGCATCTAAATACCATGATGTTAGTGAAGCCCTAGATCTAAGCAGAAACCCGAAAAAATACAAACATTTCACGAAGAAAGGGTGAGAAATTCACCCCTTTATGCAAATTTTCTTGGTGCAGGTCGAATTCACAATAAACAGAAATACGACTCGACGGAAGGAATGTAATTCCGCATCTCTAAATACCGCGCTGATGTTGAGTAGAGACCCCTAGTCCAGCAAACCCGAAAAAATACAAACATTTCGAGAAGGTGAAATTCACAACACATGCGAAATTTCGCGGGTTTGCAGGTCGAATTCCTGCAACAAGCAATACAACCCGACAGGCATGCTAATTCCGTATTTCTAAATGTCGCGCTGATGTTAATTGAGACGCCTGGATCCCGCTTAGGCAAAAAATACAAATATTTCACGAGAAAGGGAAAATTCACCTTTTGAGCGAAGATTTTCATGAGTTTCTACGGTGCCCTGAACACGGAGTCACTTTTTACCGCTATCCTCGTAAGGTGCCCTGAATCGAGTCACTTCTACCGCTAACTAAATATCACCCATTGGAGAATTTGAATTCCACGGCATCACTAGACAAGGCGAGGTTAGTGCACGAATTGCATTTGGCAATTTACCTGGATCAAACTAAACTAAACTGCAGTAACATGCGGCATGGGGTGCTGGCAACGACGACACACGGCAATGCGATAAAATTGTATATTGTGTTCAAACAAACACAATTCTTGTGTCGAAGGATCACGCTTTAGTAAATATAGAATAAACAATACAAGTTTATTTTACAATGTTTAGTCCATGCTATTGCCATCTATAAATGTACGGTAGTTTCGATTGGTAAAGAGTAATAAAAATTAAAATTCGATTTGCGTAATTTTGATTTCTTATGCTAACAGATTGCCAGATTTGAAATCAAATATTTAAGTGATATTAATTTCAAGCATGTCGTTCCTCGTTTACCAGGTAGCTAACACGACAGTCCGTAATCATCTGCAGATAATAAAAATGTATTAAATTAAAATAAAAATTGTTAGTTATATTCATGAAAAGAGTTAGATAATATGTAAATTTACGATACTAATATAATATAAACAACAACGGTGTGTTTTGATTCCACAAAATAGGAACTCGATACCTGGGTAAATAAATTTATCTCTAGCGCGAAATCCTTTGTGATCCACACGGACACGGTGTTACTCACTACCACCAACAAGCAATATTTAATACCAAAACCTACATCGTAGCGCCATCTAACCTTTGAAAGTATTTATCAACTTAAAAAAATTCAAAACACATTTATCAAATATGAAACAAGGTTGATATTGCAATGACATTGAAAACAACGAAAATCATACATACATACATACATAAACAGCACGCTGAAGTTAGTGAGCCGCCCAGATCGCGCGCAAACCCGAAAAAAATCAAACAATTCGCGAGAAAGGGTAAAAAATTCACCCTTTTATGCGAATTTCCGCGGGTTACAGACCGAATTCCGGCAACAAACAAATACAACCCGATGGAGAATTTAATTCCGCATATCTCGACGCCACGCTGAAGTTAGTGAGCCGCCTAGATCGCGCGTAAACCCGAAAAAAGCAAACAATTCGCGAGAAAGGGTGAAAAATTCACACTTTTATGCGCAGGTTCCTACGGTGCCCTGAACACGAGTCACTTTTTCCGCTAGCCTCGTAAGGTGCCGTGAATCGAGACACTTCTACCGCTAACATATACCACCCGACGGAGAATTTAATTCTACATCTCTAAACACCGCGCTGAAGTTAGTGAGCCGCCTAGATCGCGCGCTAACCCGAAAAAATTCAAACATTTCATGAACATTATTCTGCAGCGAGACAAAATACATAGCCGACGGCACGCGACAATTGAGTTATGATGACATTCGTAAAATGCGATTAAAGGTAGAAATGTAATAATGATGAAAATTTATTTACAGACATACCAGTGCATCAAGTAATCAATGCTATTGCTGAAACAGAAAAAAACCTTTGTAGAACTCTTATTATGCTGCACAATTATTAAGTCCGTTCCGTCGGATCGCGTATTGCAAGCGGTATTTTAACCGACAATGTTTGGATCACTTGCTTAGGCGCCCGTGATATTCTCGCGAGGACAAATGTAGATTACACTTACTTGAAATTGATAGGAGTGTAGAGAATTCCTATTGTTATTCCAATTCTCGGCATCGAAATAATTCAATTCCCGTCGGATCACTAACGCACTATTACACGCACAAATCATCGATAACAAAACACTAAACACATCTATTGTCAATGGGTGCCAATATAATAATTATTGTTCATGTACCGAATACAGGACTTTTATGTACGCGAATACAGGAACAGACTGAAATTGTCCCAGCATGATGCACGAGTTCAACATGGCGCTAGTTTAAAGCGATAAAAAAGTTGTTTATACACAAACACTGATAAGCGCAACAAGCATAACTATACGTTTCGTTGCAAAATTGTAAGAAATAAAACAACTCGCACTTATTGGTATTCCACGCGAAATTAAATATTAACAAAACCGAACACACTTAAATAGTTGTTTGAAGAACGATTATAAAACTATTTGCTGTGTTAAAAACTAAAAATATAACACGAGACACGAAATACGTCTAGATTACTCTAGATCAACACGCGGTCGGTATGAAACTACCTGCTGCAAGGCAACGAAGGAGATAAGATAAGACTAGCCGGACTCACCGCAGCTAATGCTGTAAAGCAGAAATAACGTACAAAATTGGCCATACTAGCGCCATCTAGCGACAAGGATTCAAAGCAAGAGCAGCCATAGTTAAAGTCGCGGCGACGCCATCTAATTCTTGGGGCGTCAACTAAAAACACCTCTGTAATAGGATACTGCAATAGAATCAGCTGGATGTATATACATTACATTCACACTATATTACAGTCACAGATGTCGCATGTATGCGGATTTGTGTATTAAAACTTGGAACATCTAACCAAATAATGAAGGTTTATTGTTGAATATGTTTGGAACGCAGTGCGATTATTTTATTTTAAATCAATTTTCTGTGTTTGTAAAGACAGGGAGTCCCGTACGCTTTTTTTTAACTATTAAATATAATATCTGTACTAATTGTACTTTTACAGGATGAGTCGTGAAAATCTTAAACAGAATATAATTAGTGCATGACATCATAACAAGAATGAGTTCTCCTGCTCAGTTTGTTGAAGATGCAATTGAAGCTGCCAAAAGGGCTGTACAATTTGATTCTGATGGTCAGCATGAAGCTGCTGCCTATTTCTACAAAATTGCCTCAAGATTACTCTTTCAAGCAGCTGCAGTAAGTGATGAAGTACAAGTTGAAGGCCTTAAAAACAAGGCTGAGGAATACAAAAATAGGGGTCAAGTGTTACTGGAACAACATGCAGCTATCCAGGTCAACACTGAGCAAGACAAGAGTCGCCAGAAGCTGCTGCAATTTAGATTCCTCATGCAACAAGCTCTGGAAGCAGATGCAGCTGGCCTCCAAGACACTGCTATTGAACTCTACACCAACACCATTGAGTTTGTCACACAACATTCAGAGTTAATGCAAGGAGAAACCAAAGAATTGACCATTCGAGCTTTGGAAAGAGCTGAAGAATTAAAAGGAATCACATTCTCACCCAGTTCTTCTTCAGCTGAAACTTCACCAACAAAGAGAAGTCATGCATACACTGTGAATGCAGTTGGGCAGGCCTTGCCAAAACTGCACAGAGGATCCAGTGCACATTTACAAGTTGTAGGGAATACAGATGGTTACACAGAGGAAGAAAAACGAGTATTATTTCACACATCTAAAATCAACCATCTGGATTATGTGCCTTTCATGGCAATCGATTTAAAGGAAAAATTTCAGTACGCGATTCCGTTTACTGATAAAGATGGACACTTAGCACTGGCACCGAAACAACGACAAAGTTTTCATTCCTGGGTGCGTCCACAGGATATCTGCCCAGAGCCTACAATCCTACTCGGGAATCATCCAGATTTTTACAGTATCAAGCAGACAGTGATCTCCGACTGTTCATTTGTTGCATCATTGGCAGTCAGTGCCTTGTACGAGAAGAAATTCGGGCGCAAACTGATAACAGCAATTATCTACCCACGAAATGCCGAAAAGAAGCCTCTACTCAACCCGTTTGGCAAATATATGATCAAACTGCACCTGAATGGCGTCACACGGAAAGTTATCATCGATGATTACCTGCCGATTAATCGCCACGGACAATTGCTATGCTCATACTCTGCAAACAAGAGCGAATTTTGGATTTCTTTACTTGAGAAAGCCTACATGAAAGTTATGGGCGGATATGACTTTCCTGGCAGCAACAGCGTAAGAATTCTTTAAATTTGTGCGTTGTAATATTCCTAATTAAATTTGTATTTTTAGAATATAGATCTACACGCTTTAACTGGTTGGATACCTGAACGTGTTGCCATTAGACCTAAAGACGCTGATTTCAATAAGCAAAGCCTTTTTAATATTCTCGAGACACGAATGGCGAAGGGAGACGTTTTGGTAACCGTCGCGACTGGGGAGATGTCTGATTCGGAGGCCGATCGTACCGGTTTGGTGGCTACTCACGCCTACGCTGTGCTAAATGTGCGCACTGTAAACGGTGTGCGTCTGCTGCAGTTGAAGAACCCATGGTCGCATCTACGATGGCGCGGCAATTATTCCGAGCTGGATATGCGACACTGGACACGCGAGTTGCAAGCAGAACTTAATTATGATCCACACAGTGCGGCGCAGTTTGATAATGGAGTGTTTTGGATAGACTACGATAGTATTTGCGCATTCTACGATGTATTTTATTTAAATTGGAATCCCGAATTGTTTAAATACACGTATTGTCTGCATGCGTGAGTTATAATTTGCGAAAATTTATAGAGTTTATATTGTAATGTCGATTGTATGTTGCGTCTTTAGCGAATGGAAGGCTGGAATGGGTCCCACACGAGACGTTTACACAATTGGAGCCAACCCACAGTTTGAGTTAGATATTAGCAATGAAGCGACAGGGGCTGTTTGGATATTGCTCACTAGACATATAATGGACATTGAAGATTTCAAGGAGAACCGGGAGTATATCACCGTGCTAGTTTACAAGAATAATGGCAAACGCGTATATTATCCAAGTAAGAGATTCATTTAAGAACTTACGGTTGAGAAATGTCAACTAATTTGTTCGTTTCCAGTGGATCCGCCGCCTTACATCGATGGAGTACGAATAAATAGCCCGCATTATTTATGCAAAATCATATTAACACCAAACTCATGCAGGAAGTTTACTCTAGTCATATCACAGTACGAGAAAACTGCCACCATTTATTATTCATTACGCGCTTATGCAACTTGTCCGTTTGGATTGAAAAAAATCGAGGAACCATATCGATACAAGAAGGAGGTATTGTATTTATAATAATCACTTACCTTTGCAGATTAAACCATTGTTTCGTCTTTGAATTTACCAGATTTCCGGTGAATGGAAAGGTGCTACTGCGGGCGGTTGTGGCAACCACCAGGCCACGTACCGTAACAATCCGAAGTGCAAGTTGGAGATAAGCGGGGCAACGGAAAGCAAGATCTTAGTGGAGTTGAAAGGTCCGAAGCAATACCAGGTGGGTTTCGATATCACGATCAAAAGTTTGGAGGATGATAGCGTCACAGCGCCGTTCCGGACAACTTCCTCCGGGTCGTACCGCTCCGGTTTCGTCATCCTCGAACTCGACAACATTCCCGCAGGATGCTTGATCATAACGCCCACGACATTCCTACCCGGCCAGGAAGGACCTTTCATACTTACGGTCAAGTCATCATCACCGATTCAGCTTTCGCTTTATTAGTGCCTAAGAGAAATAAAATAAAATATCGTAAAGTTAACGCCAAGTTTTCTAGCAATGTGATCATGTGTTGAATAATTTTTTTACCATTCTAATGAATACGCTTTAAAATTCAGGAGGTTCTGTTATCAATTTAGAATATGATGTTGATTGATCATGTTACGATGACGTATTATGCACAGATGTTCTCTATGTAATTGAATGAGTAATATATTTATTTTTACTTAGTTCCGGGCGAGTTTTACTACCGGCGGGTTTTGACGAGCACGCAAAAATTGAAATGGTGAATAAGGAATTCAATTGGCGCGTGCGGAGTGGACGTGTCGCACTCCGAAAACGCTGAATTGTAGCAAATTTTATATTATGTAGTTTCCAGTGATAGTCAGCACCTCAGTGCTGGATTTCTGGATCGGCTGCAATCTAAAATGGTGAACTCTTGCACTTTTCCGACGTGTGCGAGCGCAAAACGAACAAAATATTAACGGAATAGTTGGAGGACTTGTTTAAATTCCCGTGCAATCTAATTTTTGCCGCCTCCCGGCCGACCAAAGATCCGGCACTGATTCCGCATGCAGGCGCACCTTTCCATCGAGTCCAATCGCGTTTTCGCCACTTACTAAATAGGTATCATCACTGGAATGTTACATACTCGTTACCTCGACGCGATATCTTTTTACGAAGGTGACGACGCATAGGTAGTCGGCTCACATAGCAGCGCCGCTTCCGATGCGGCGTTACGACCGTTCCTTAATCGATGCGGCCGCACCGGCGGACGGAAACGTCGCGAAGAACTCTTCACATGCAGGTGCGCGGGCCGGTCACGTCCCCTCGCACGGGCGACGGGATATATCCGCTCGTAAACGATCCGCCGTCCTTTCCGGCCAGCAGCGCTAGCCAGGGCACAATACGAATGCCACACGCGAGCGAGCGGAAAGCGTCCGATTCGACACCAGATGAGCACACCCCCGACCCTAGAGTAATGGATGTTGTGCTGGGGATGCAGATTAATTAAAACATTCCATGTAATCCGGGACAATTGGTAATTGCGCGAATTGCGCCCGGCCCAGCGTCCATAACAATTAAGGATACGCTTTATGGGCATGTTGGGTGGATTCAGAATGCGGGAATCGAAATCGAAGCTCCGGTTCTTGTTCTGCACTCGCGCACCACTCGAGCCGTGGATAAATATTAATGGGGCTTGAAGTGTCCGTCTCGCAATCGGTGCAATCGCTGCAAGCATGCAATCCCCGTTTACGAGTGCCAGCAAACCGGCTACAGGGCAATAAAAACAATATTTTTCTATTTATGGCACGTGACGCCGAAAAAAAAAACCTACGAGCGTTTTCTTGCCGAAGATATATTGAATGTTAATGCTGGACGCGGACAGAAGAACTCCGCAATCAATGCTAACTTGGCTTTTCCTTTCCGGCCAGTCGGACGGGCTTCCTCTGCCGACTTCCGGTCCGTCGTCGCCAGCGCCTCCGCCATCGCCAACGCTAACGAAAATCTGCTGCTATATGAACCGAGGCGGCGTCGTGAAACTCGTGGAGCGTCTCGCGCGGCCACCAGTAAACTTAAGTGAAAAGTGCTCCATTATTTTGCGCCGCCGAGAAGTCCGAAAGTAACAAAGTTCGGGCGGCGGAAAAGTTGGAGCGCGGCCAAACGATTCCGCGGCCAGCGCCAGCGAGCAAAAAGTGTTCATCCAACTAACGACTGCAACAACGAGACCGGGAAAAATTGCGAGCGGCGAATAAAGTCGAAAAGAATAATGCAATCGCGGCAATGAAATGCAAAACGTACTTACACCCCCGGGCGGTGTTCCCAACACTGCCGGTTCAAACTATGAAATGACGAGTTGTTGACGACTTTGCGCTTGAGTACGTCAAAAGTAAAAGTTGGAGAAGAAAGAAATTTTATAACGGCACAGACATTTCAAACGAAAATAAAACGAAGGTGTTAAACTGCACAGGAATCCCAGAAGTACATTTAGAAAATAATTTTAATAGTTATCCACATTTGTTAGTATAATATAATATAGTTAATGTTCTTGTTTAGTTTTGTTTTGGTTTCTCTTCTATACATCCTCATAGTAATCAATTTTAAATATATCTTACATTTCATTCATTTGTCCATTTTCATCAATAACAGGTAAGTAAAATAGACTTAATGCGTATTCGTAGGATTGTTTTCAAGAGAACATGTAAATATCATTTTCATCGGCGCCCGTCAATCCCCGTTGTTCCATTCAATCCATTGGGTAACAATCAGTTAAATTCATTTGCGGTCGACGCCAAGGACCGAATCAAAGCAACGACACGCAGAATGCGAAATATTTCTTTACATCTGTGTTTATAATTTGTTATAATTTTCGAACATGTGTTTGAATCGTTCTTATACTGCGATCAGTACTCCATAGTTTTAAGTGTTTACAAATCCTCCGCTTAAATATGTTATCACAAAAATCAATGGAAGTTGTCTCTCGGTTATGCGAATGCGAATCGTAGTGCATATTCATTTATCGTTTAGCTAGTAGTACTATGGATGAAAATACATTTCACCGATGTATCACGCTCGTATCGAGCCGTCGCAGTTGCAGTCGCTGCGTCGAACTAATCAAGCGCAGCAGCGGCAGAAGAAGTACGAGCAGAAGATTCGAAGGATGAGAAGACGCGCAGACGGCGCCGGAGGTTGTCGCCGAGAATATCACTGCAAAACAACATATTCATGGGCGCGCTGTGGATATTTTGCCATTGACGATATTTTTTGGCTTTTTGATTGGCTTGGTGGTGCGCGTTGCGTGCAGAAACGCGACCGGCGGCTAACGATGCATGCGACAAGCGGACGGAATAAAATCCGCTGCGTTGTGTGAGCGTGTAGTCATGCTTCGGCTGAGTTTTTTTTAGTGTTTACGGCAAGTTTTAATAGCGTTATTGATGTCGTACGTGCAATATGCTTTTTTCTAGCGAAGCACACAGATTCTGGACAAAAAAGTGTGCGCCACAAAAAGTGCCTTTGACATGCGTGAAATTAAAACGAAACCAACTTAAAAGCTTAATTACCTATGCAAGTCGACAATTTCCAAAACAACAAACTCGAAAATAGCAGTAAGCACAGCGTTTGTGAAGAAAGCAGCAACAATATACAAAAAGACATTTTCCTTCAAGATGCGAATGGCGAAAGCAATCAGATGAATGCCGAAAAGAGCCGAAATTAATTTCAAACGGCGTGCGTTTCAACGCAAACAAACCGGATAACGCTTCATCGCCTGACGTTCGGCGCGTTTCCGTGATCACACGCGACAACCACGACGAAGATACGGAATGCGAGGCGAAAGTGACGATACGAAGATGGAAAGCTTTCGCAAGACATGTCGCATGTGAAAATCCAGACGGTAATTACGCAGTAACTAACTAAGTAATGATAGAATTTAGAAAACCCGCCGTTTTCCACCAATTTTCAGCATCAACAAACACAAAATTGCATTCATTAGGTGTAATTGAATTAAAACTGAGAAACAATTATCGCGGTGACGTATAGAATCCATATTGGCGAATAATTTGTTTGCTTTTCCGCCCAATATTGCCGTGGGTGTATTTTGATGTATTTATGTCATTACAGATAATAATAACAAGCCCGTGGTATTAATTATGGTGTCGTGTGTGTGATTTGTCAAAAACCAGTTCGCTTTTGTAGGCGAGCGCGCCGCGAGTCGAAATGTATCGCGATTTTTCTATTTTAACAAATTACCCTCGGCGCGCCATTCGTCCATATTCGCCGAAATGCGAGTACTTATGGCGAATGTCTAGCCATATAATAGAAACGACGTGAAAAGTGCTGGAATGCCTGGTTCGCGACGGGTTAGCTATACGTACAATACGAGCGCCGAACAAAAAGCGAACTCCCACTTACCGAAAGCATACAGTACGTCGCCGAAATCATTATCGCAGTCACGAACGTCAATTAAGTAATTCCGAACGAGTTTGTTTACATTCACCGGCAACACAAGTTTTCCACATGAATTTTCTTTCTCGTTTTCGAAATGATAATGCGCGCTGCTGAAATGTCGGCTAATTGTTTCGGAATTCGCGTAACAGACTCGTTGAACTAGTTGAATAAGACCAGGAGTTGAATAAATGCAACGCGTACTTCATGCGTTTCGCCAGGATGGTGTCGTAAAAACGGTGCACGGTGAACGAGCGCACCCCTGCGTCCTGCGCTTTCTTCGGAATGACGAGGATGAGTGAAAGCCCGGCGGGGCGCCGTGTACGTGCCTTGACAACAACGGCGCCGACGTAAAAACGAATGCCGGCAATTTATAATAAATATTATTATCGCCACCGACGGCGCAGCCGGCGCGGCAAACATCTATAAACCAATCGACGTGATTCATCGACCGAGCGAGCAGAGAGCAAACGATTTAGTGGCAGATTTGTCAACATGCAAAAGCATTCCAAGCGGGGGCAAAACATGCGGAGAATAATGAGGACTGTAACTTACGTGTGCTCTGCGGTATCCGTTCGGACAGGGTGAAGTCCCAGTCGGCGGCGGGCGCTGGGCTGCTGAGTCGTGGCGTGGTGCGCAACCGAGGCGGCTGCTCCTGGTAGACACTCTTCTCGGAGCTCTGATGGTACACGTTCAGCATGGACGCGATGCATCGGATCTTCAACTTGCCGTGGGCGAAGTGATCCTCGGTTATTTGCAATTGCAATTTCGAGTGCGCGCTGAAACAGAATGGTCGCACGTTATTAACTTTCGCCAACTCGTAGTTTTCGACCGCGCGTTCGGAACTTCGTCACTAGTTGAGGAGCAGCAGGAGAAGTACGAGGAAGGGGTGTGGGTGGTAGTGGGTTCTTGGCTTCTTTGCGACAAGCCCACTATGCAACGAAAGGAATACATTTTAATTATCCGGCGGTCAGCGTGATGAATTTAACAAATTCCTAACATTGTTTTGTTAACGTGGCCAGCGCGCTCGTCTTTTTCCGCAATTAAAACTTGTTTAGTTGCGGACGCGCTCTGCTTTTAAGCCGATTACCAGCGACTATGTGCAGCAAGCACTTCATTTAAGGACTTCATCTAGTTATTCTAGTCCGTTCTAACACCGTGAACGAAAAACAAGCCCCGAACTCAAAATTGAAAAATTCGTTATCTACCTGCGCTGTTAGTTTTTGCCGGCTGTAATTTGACGTCGAGGATGAAAAGGTTAAAATTTCCAACGCATCGCACTTTTTCCCGGGGATGCATTGAAAGTTCGAATCACCATTTACGGGGCTTGAAACAGTCGTAAATGCAGCTGCATCTGCTGAATCGTGAATATCCCCGAAAGCGGGCTGGCCTTGTCTTGCATCGCATTGCGTCGCAACTTCGATCGACAACGCAAACAAAGCCAGCATGCCCGCAGGCCAACAGCTAACTATATCAACGGATAAACTAGTTAGATTGCTGATAAGTTTCGATTGTCATCGAATGTCGCAAGTTGCGCGCATAGAACGACTCCGGCCAGTCTTCACAGGACAATAGCTGAATTAATTGCGATGCATAATTAACGCTGAATGCCGAACTTAAAATTGCTTTCAATGTCCGGATACGGATATTATTCACGGAATATTTCGCAGAGTTTTTCGATTTCGCGATTTTTTTTCGGTGTGTTGTTTGTTTCGAGTTGGGCGTTCGTTACAGTTTTGCGGCGGGTTGTGTTATTCGCATTTATCGGCGCACCGAAACACGAAAGTTCGCTCTCGGGTGTATCAGGCAAATTCATCAGCGCGTCCGTCGGATGCGCTCTTGTATGAATAGTTGAAGCAGTTGGTCATAAAACTTTTTAAAAAATGATGCCCGACGCACAAGGTACGTGGAGGTATTAAAAACTTTTTAAAAACTCAAACAATAGACGGCGTCAGCGAGAAGCGGCGCCGCGCGCGCAGATTAATAATTCGTAATGTTATTAGTGCGCGCCTTTTTGCCACGCAGTCCAAATGTTATTCGGTGTGCTAATAAAAGCGGTTTTTTTTTCCTTTTTTTTTGCTTGTTTTTATAATACAGCACACGTTTGCAGCTAATAATTTTATTGTGCGTTAAGTTTGTACAAAGAAAAAAGATAACCATTCAGAGACGGCGGCGCATTCAGCAGTGAGTGAACTTAATTATGTCACTAGTTATTCTCTAAAATTATCTCATTACCTTGCTCGAGCGAATGGTACTTACACTGCGAAAGTATCTTCAAACAAAAGTGGCCGTTGCCCGCATCTCCAAACAGTTATCTCTCTCTTTTTTGTTTCACTTTCCACTTACCTATGAATATTAAACTCGGCAACTTGAACTTCCAGCGAGTTCGAATGACTTTGAATGACATCAAATGGGCATGGTAATTAAAATGCATGCATGAATTGAATTCGTATACAATCCGCCGATAACCAGCGCAGAGCATTCATTAGTTAACCCACCCAGTTAGAGATTACGTGAATAGACTAATCATCATGTAATGTGCGTCTTTTCGTTCTTCGCTCTTCGTGCGCTCGTCGGTGGTCCGGGGCACGCCGCCGCTGCCACTGCTGCTGGAAATGAAGCAAGCAGCCGACGACCTTTGTTTGAATACTTTTTGTACCATTCGCATTTCGTAATTCGCTAGTCACACAACAGTTGGAAGTTACGCGCGTTCTGATTAATCACATCGTCATTCATTATGCGCGCACTCGGAGAGAGTGCATGCGTTAATTGAGTTTTGGTTTGGTTGTTCGACGGAGTTTGTTTCGTGCCTGCCAGTAGCAAACCGCAGTGAGCTTATTGGAAATGCGAAATGAACACGCGTGTTATATTAAAATGCGGAGTTTGATTGAGTCTATCGCAGGAATTCGAAAACTGTCGGGTAGTAATCGATTCCAATGCTGCATCGCGAAAACCAACCGCAACAAAAACAACGCAACCGGCGGAGAACAAAAATTAATGAAAAATTTCAGATCATTGAGAACTTTCGACCGGATTGGCATGTTGTGCAGTTCACAACAGAACAGAACAATCTGTAACGATGCGCAATGTTCGCTTCTGCACAATCAAGTCCAGCTAATGATCGAGATCCTGCTATGAGCTCTCAGAGTTGAAATGTACAAATTATTATCGACGAATTGACTTCGCCGCGGAAAACTTGCTGCGTAGCAATAATAAACGAAAAAGTTTTTCCAAAGAACTTACGTGTACAAATTGCTGTAGCCAATGCGCTTGGTATGATTGTGTCGGATGTGCGTGGCTTGCGCTGGCTCATCATTCACCATCCAGGTGAGGTTGGCCGCGGGCGTGGAATCCCGCGAGGTGCACTGCGCCTTCAGGGTCTCTCCAATTTTGTAGCGATGCTTCAGCCCGGTGATATTGGGGTCATGCGTTGGCACCTCCACGACCTACATCAAAATTTGCAGCGTGTTTTAAAGTTTTACAACTTCACAACTTTACGAGACCAGTGTACCTGTAAAGTGCCATTCTGGACGCCTGTGAAAAACGAAGGCGCATCCGCTGAAATCTCGCAGTTGTACACGCCGCTGTTGTCCATTGAAACATTATCCAAGGTGAGATGTGTCGCGTTGGAAAGTTCCAGCGCGACGTGCAACCCATCAATCGGGAACTGTTTGATTGGTGGGTCATCGCGTAGTGTGAACCTGTAGAACTCCCTTTGACCCTTGTACCATTTCACGGAGTACAACTGATCTGTCTCCAGGTCGTAGTGGCAGCGTAGAAGTGCGCGATCCCCGCGTACCACCGCTGGCGGTATAATAACGCGCACATCCTTAAGTCCGCAAGTATCTGCAACAAAAAGCAGAGCCTTTAATATCCAGCGAAGGACAAAGCGGTCTCACCTGTAATTTTGTCGTTTGCAACATTAGTTGCCTCTCTCAAGATGAAAGACCAGCACTACGTTAATTGGCCGCCTGCTGGGGATGTGTTCAGTTTTAATGCCTAATTAATTTTTTACGCTCGTTTTTCATACCCGCTCCGGAGGCGGCAGTGAATTTCGCGCTGTAGGAACAAGAAGAGCAACTTCGCGCTGCTAGTTTTCGCTCACCCACGCGCTCCAATTGGGAATTAAACTTTCGCCGAGAAACTAACAATAAGTAAATTAGAAGTCTCTCGCATACAAGTGCGCGCCGGGCCGCCGGCGCCGCTAATAGGAATCCCACGCGCGGGGTGGGTATCATCATCGCATGCATCCGATCGCGTGTGTTATACAAACGCGTCGCGAGTTTTGGGCCGACGCCCGTCGCGTCAAACGAGCGCACGGTGATAACGTCAACCGCATAAAGTTCGCCAATAACAAAGCGGCGGCAGTGTTGGCGGAACTCGCTACAAAGAAGCCTTTGAACACACTTTGCACACTTTGCAAACGCCTCGAACGTCGTCAATCAAACTGGCAAATTAATACACGTACAGGCGGCGTCGTGGAGTGCATTACCTCATCATCCAAAATAACAACAATTTCAACCGAACACCAAACATACTATTTATCGACTAAATACTACTTAACCGTGTTCGAGCGGGTGTCAGTACACTAATCCCACCACTAAGATATCCAATCACTTGTGACAATCAGTGCAATTTGGGGCCGACACCATTCCCGCCCAACACACTGTCCCCAATCAATTGCATATACATGTTAATGCATATACATCACCAGCCGACACAAGAGCATAATGCATATACCTAATGACTACCACGTATGCTCATGTATCAACTCGAGGATACACCTGATTAAACATCTTGCCGTCGCCGGAGGCAAGCGGGCAGATGGATAATGGTAAATCATATCTGCCAGTAATGCCTTCTCAATTTCGTCATCAATGCCGATCGATGCGAGCTTGATTTCTATATATGACAAAATCGCGATATAAAACGCACGACCCGTTATCAAAAACAATAAATAAACGAAGGGGAGCAGCACCAAATTTGTTTCTAATGACGAGAAAAACGCGCGTGTGTTTTACTGCACGCGCTTTTCACTAACTGCTTAATATTACCATTGTTATTGATTCCGATGGTAATGGACTACTAATGACGCCTGAATATTTCGACTTGTTGTCATCGATAGTTACAGTGTACTTTTATCAGCAGAGTGGAGTAACTTGGCAATTAGGTAAGAGTGACTCGTGTTGTTAAATAAGACCTAGAATTTTTTTTTACTGAGTAAATATAATATTCATCAACGCCAATAAAGCAAATTACCAGTATGACCAGGTAATAACAAAGAAAAATTAATTATTGTCAATTGTGTGACAATAAAAATCATTAATTAACATTTATATTTATGTGATACAATTAGCTCAAACGACTGCTAATAGGTACTTATCCAAATATTTCCGCTGTAACTAATTTCGTGTGTGTTTGACATTTATTTCATATGACAGAAATATATTTACTGAAAAATAGATATTAGCTGTCGATAAAAGCAAACGTCGATAAAAAGCAATTTGACAATCAACCCACGGCTTGAGTTGAAGTTAATGCCCCCGATAGGCAATTTATAGATTTGTTTATACCAGCTGAAATGAAATGTAGACCATACGCTTGTTTCCAGCAAATGAATTAACGTAATGATACCGAAAATAATCTCCGCTGGTTTGCGATAAAATTGCATATTGCCTATTATGTGCGTATACTTGCCGAGGGAAAATGAAGCCCATTTGCAATTGTGTTAAAACCGCGCACGCGACTGCAAACAACCCGTCCGTAAATTACAGTATGTTATAGTTTATACTCGGCGAAATGGTGTGTGCGTTGCAAATATGGCTTGTGTGCCCTTGGCCAGTATTATGATGAACCCCACCGCCGCAGAGTTGAGTCAGTTTCGTCAAGTCAACTGTAATTTATGACCGCAAATTTGAATAGGCGATTTTTTCCGGGGCGCCAGTGTAAAGATTTGCTTGCTATGGTCGCACGCATCGATTTGCGATTAATTTTCATAGATAGTATGCGCCATCAGGCGATCTAACAGGCATTTAGTACCCTTCAAATCCTTTCAGCGCTTCGTTTCCACTCCGACATTCTCCACTTTGGCGTGCCACGCTTCTCGGGGGCTTTCCGCAACCGCTCATATACATATCAACCTTGTTGCATGCAAGGCGTAGGCGGCGTAGGCTGCTAATACCTAATGTTTCAATTTCGCGATGCGAAATGCAAACGGCAAACTAATCACGTTGAAATAGCAGCCGGCACGACGTATGAAATCTCGTTACGCCGCACGCTGGTCGTGCTGCTCCGCCCGATTTGTTTGCTTCCTGTCGTTCGGTGGATTTTCCGCCTTGCATGTCGGCAAATCAAACATTCCGTATATGTACGTGTATCGCTCGCCCCCGACGACGAATGCGTGCCGCCGCGCGCAAAGAGGATGAAGTGCCAAAGGACCTCCTGTGTTTAACGTTGTAATTAATGCAAAAGTTTCGCGGGCGGGGGCGCGAATTAATCGACGCGTATGTAAATGTGTTCGCCGTGTAAACACACGCATCATATGCAAATGACGCCCGCGCGCGCGCGTCTAACTTTCAGCGCGAGCGCTTATTTTTCAATGCGGCGAATAAAATACGCGCTTAATTCGCAATTAATTCCGCATCGCCGCGTGGGATCCTTCCGCGTGGAGTGCGAAAAGGTGGCAGCCGTTATTTCCGTGTCACGTCGAGTGGTGTGTTGTGGCGCGTCTCGTTTTCGCCGCCGCCGCCAGCACCAACTTTTCACCAGCGCACGTGGCAATCTGTGTTTCGGTGTTTATTGCGCATGGGGCCGCCTATAAAAGACAAATTGTCGCCGCGCGTTGTTAAATTAAAGTGACTAAATAAAGCCGGCGCCCGCAAATTGAAATAATAAACGCGCGAAGTCGTAAGCCGCGCGCGCGAAGCATCCGCAACGACCACGTGTAGTACGTGCGACGACGAATTGCCCCACATTTCTTCAAGTAAACCACTTCAATTGAGGTCGCTTTGTGCGGCGGCGGTGCTTTTGTGAAACTTCTTCACTCGTTCGCCAACCGCCCGAATGCCAGAAGTGCGCATCCGAGGCTCGTATGACTCTTTCTGTCCTGCGGTGAAATGTATCGGGCGTAACATGTCACAAACATAAAATAAATGTTTACATTCCAACGCTATTGAAAATCCGCGCACGTTTAATCGGCGATTGCATCGCCAAAAACATCTTTAGCATTTTTATCAAATAATCAGGTTTTAATACCGAAATATATCGAACGTACGCCCCCATTATTTGTGCTCGATTTGCATGCGATTCTCACTCTTTTTCATGGTCTCCTGGACTGGAATCCGTACTTTTCCCTTTTCTTAGCGCCCGCGCTTTGCTTTTGCTTTCCTCTTTTGATGCACACGCTTCATTGTCTTCGTTTCATTCCATTCCAATGTGTCCGCACGCCCTCGGCCCGCCCAGGCGTCGAAGAAAATTTCCAAAGCCCGAAGAACTTAATCCGCTATATTCCACTAATCGCGAATTTATATTCAGTTTAGTTTCGCGCGACGTTTCCGGCTCGGGCGCGAACAAAAAACTTGCCCGAATCGACGCGAACTAATAACATTCGCCGGGCGTTAATTTGCACGGCGAATCCGCTTTTTAAATTTTCACAATCGGTTGCATAAAAACGTGCCGCACGCCACGACCTAATTACGGCTAATGGAATTGAACGAACGAAAATCTATCCGGACATCAAATTGGAGTGGCGGCGCGAGAGTAAAACGTCGCGCACAAACAAAAACATCGTGTAGTGGTAGAAGTAAAAAGGGCGTTCTCCACGTGCTATTTGTCATATCGAAGGAATTCCAAGGTGTGAGAGCGCGGGCATAATCAAAAGCAAAGGTAAACGAAGGTAACAATTAAGTGCTATAAATTTCATTTGCGGCGGGCCGCAAAGCTACGCCGCCACCCACGGACTCCCACGGCGCGGCGCGCCCGAAGGACGAGTGCCCCTGACCATTATTGCCGCCCGCACCGGAAACATGCACGAAAGTTACACACGTACGTGCGCTCCTCGGGGTTGATAAAGGCGCAAGGAATGCGGCCGCCCGCTGGTTGTAAATATCAGCGCGAATATCCACGACCTAATCTCTTTTGAAATATGGCCGCGGACCGTACGTACCGGCCTATTAATTACCAGTCATCGCGGTGCGAATTGATTTGTGCGCGCGTGACCTGCCGGAGGGTGTATCACCGCACGCGTGGCCGAATCCCACCGCTTTGAAGCGCTTCCTGCGGCTTTGCAGGATGATAGTGGCCGGTTTTTTAATTACCAATGACTGGATTGTGAGTGCGCGCCGGGTACGTAAGTGGGCGCGAGGGTTAATTTAATACGGAACGCTTGCCGGGACCACATACGCTTTACGAATTATCATCCTGAAGCCCAAGGCATCTCCTTTTTACATTTCAATAATAAAACACAAAACCAACGTCTGGAGTTTGTGTAACAGTAGAAAATCGTATTTTTTGTTGGAAATCATTAAAATTTCGTCGTCGGTAACATGATATTCGATTCATTACTCGTCTGTTGCATTGTTCGACGAACATACGCCCCCGCGTTTAAGTACAAAGTACGTGCGGCGCGCATATCTTCCGCAATATATTATTAATTCCGAGTGCGCGCACGATGGCGCAGTTGATAAAAGTTGTAAATTAGCACGGGGCGCGCGCGTGAAACACGTGTACCATCACTGATACGCGCATTTACATATTGTCGTGTTTGAAGGACGCCCGCGGGTCCGCGCCAAGAAGCAGGATTGATATATACGCGCGCTTGTGATGCAAATGTGTGGACACTATTTAAG